GTCCTTGCCTGCCAAATAAGTATTTAGGCTGTGCATCAGCCTCGTGCCCCCTTACAGAGAAGCACAAGGGTACTGGTGGCCCAGGGTGATCAGGGATGCTCTGGCATGCTGTGAACACCCACTAGAATGCAACGCATTGCTCTAGGGAGCAAATCCTCTAGCAGGATCCTCTAATCTTGATATGAAATATCTTTTTTATGTGCCCATTTTCACAGGTCTGAATCCCTTGCTTCTTCATAAAGCTCATTCATTTGCTCTGAACTCTATTTTGCTGCAAATTAACTAAATTTCCCACCCTATGCAACACTAAAGCACTAAGCCTCTGACACGAGCCGAGTATGTAACCCAGCCAAAAAAGTGCTATTCTGGCAGACAGCAGCATGGTCCAATCGCGGGTGCTTCAGACTGAAATGCCACCAAAAGAAATGGCTCTTTTGGGCATAAGGGACTGAGTATTGCTGTGAGCATCGAAGCAGCCGGGCCCCTCTCCAGGAGCCCTGAGCAGGGTGAGATAGAGCTAGATCAGGCGCATAGGCTGTTGGCAGAGGAAACATAAACAAAATGCATGGGAATGAGGGGAGGCGATGATGGGAATGAGGATGAGGCAGGGACTGACCTTGGAATGTGTCTTCACCCCATAAATATGAGTTTGGGAGAGCTGGCCCCATGTACCTAAATAATGACAATTTGCAGTAAAGTATGGGATTCTGTCCAAATGTTTAGCCTAGTGGTGAAAGAGCTAAATTTGTTTGTAAGATATGGCCTGCAGAAATGGGAGCTCTAAGTAGAACGAGCATTTTAACACCTTGAAAGAAAACTTTTTCAGCTTTTGAAACAGCTTCCATGTTGTAATCTGTTATAATTAAACTAGACGAGGCTGATTCTAGAAGGAGGCTGGCCAATTAGCTTGGGATGTCAATTTTTGTTTGCCACTGTCAAAGTCTCTTAAGGGACCTTAATAGATTGCTGGTTGGCTTTTCTAATGAGATAATCCTTACATGAAAGGCAAGCAGAGAGCCTGGTGCAGGGAAGCGAATAGCAGTTGTCCTTAAAAAAAAAGAGGTAGCACCTGCCAACACAAGGCTTTAAGGTGACTAAAGTTCCACTATGACTGACAACTGGATGGAGAGATGAGCCCCCAGGTCGAGATTAAGTAAGTGGAGTAAATCACTGCATGAGGGCTGCAAACAAAGAAACAGTTTGTTTGTTCGGGGTCAAATCTGCCATTCTCGGGCAGGACTATCTCCTGCGGAGTGACCTAACTGATCACAGGTTTAGACAGGAAAAGTTCGACACACCACATATTAATCTGTTACTATTTCCCTAGCTCCCAGCTTTTGTACTCTTATTAAAATACGTGGCAAGTACCATCTCCTTAATAAAGTCTACTGAAAGAAGGCAGATGTTAGATAAAAGCTAGCAGACAAAATTCCCATGGTTTTAACTTATATAACTCTATTGAAAATTATTTATAGTAATGAATTTTGTATCCTAACATTAAAAGACCCTTCACTAAATCCAGGCTATGAGCTGTAACACTTTATAGAGTTCTTGAGGCTGATAATTGAATTTCTAAGCTTTTAATTATTTCATGTGTGTGCGTGTGTGTGTGTGTACAAAAAATCTCTACAGCTAAGAGAGAGGAGGGGACAACAATCCAACCAGTAATACCTCTCGCGACTTCGGAAATTTGAATATATGACTACTCTATGCCACTGTATTATGCAAAGCATATTCATAAACACTTCTCAATCTCCTGCTTTCAGGGCCCAAAAATGTCCCTGTTTATGGAGCTAGTGGTACCTGACACAGTCCTTAGTGAACGTACATTGACATACTTCTGCTGCCACATCCCCACTTACGCTACCAGTTAAAGTAGCGTTGCAAATCTGATTCTCTGTAAAACTTGAATTAAGCAGAAACTCGAGGAAGGGAAAAAGTTCTAAAAGTCTGAAGGAGAGATTTTTAGCTCCTATAGATTGTTACAGCACGACTTATTAACACAGCCCAGGACAGTTTATATCAACTGATAACCTGCTTCCTCTGAGATTTTAGGATTGTCAACAAATTTTGTTTTGCAGTATAAACCTAGTCATTTCCTAAAACTGCATGTTACAGTTAATCTCGACAAAACTATCCGAGTTTATTTAGAAAGCCAACAGTTACGCCCTGTGTAGCTTGTTGGTCTGTGACTCACCTGGCACGTTACTGAGAGTATGTGTTGCAAAAATAAAGGAATTATCGCTCAAGACTTTCCTTAAAAATGCTAGCCAATACATTCTACTGTATGGGAAGACACGGCAATTAACATTCAAATCCATTTATTATTCTCAAGATTTCTTTTCCAACATGTACAGATTGATTGGTACTATTTTTAATGTCTCAATTTAGAAGAGAATGGCAGTTTTCCTCAGTATTGCAGTGTGCATTTTAGCTTGCTCTAATGAAGACAAATTCCTCTCAATCAGGAGTGTTCTGTTTATTAAGTGAGACAGATGGCAGCCTTGCTGTATTGGTAAGCATTCCTGGATTTTAAGTTTATTTAGGGTACACTAGTTTGTGTTCTCCTGCTAAAAAATGATCAATATTTCACAAGGAAGAGATGTCAGATTCTGTCTTCACAGAGTTTTTTCCAGTAAATACACAGTTCTCTATTAGTAAGCTGAAAATCCAAAGGTTCCGCAGAAAGGCAGGGAATACATTCAGGCAAAATTGTAAAACATGGTCCAGCAGATGTGTCTGTCTTTGCAGAAAATTAAATATACGCTTCAGTTCTGGAGGAGGCTGTGTGCAACTAAAGGGGATGTAGCACCCCTTCCCTTTCCTTGTCTCAGATTCTGAGTGCAGGACTAGGGTTCAAGGCCCCCAGCCTTTAATCTGCCGGCAATAATGACTGAAGACAGGAGATTAATGCTGAAATGGAAAGTTCAAAATAAAATCGTGTTGATCATAGGAATCTGTGCTAAATGCCTGTATGCTGGACTCTGTGCTTAATTGCAAGTGCCAGTATTAAAATATTACAGGAGTAGATAGGAATGTATTCAAATAGGATCTTATTCAAATATTACAGATATAAAGCAATTCACAGTGATCTTCGTGGTGTCTCAAAAAGGGTATCATTCAGACTATTTCTGTGACAAACTATCTACTTTTTCATGTCCACATGAAGACCTCAAGATAGAAAAAACTAGTTAGTTTGCAGTCCTCTAGAATAAAGGAGAAAGAAAGAGTTTATGAGTGAACATAGAAATTACATAAGGACATTATCTTCATATAAAAACATCCCTGTTTTTTGTACAGTCTGGCTTCACACAAAAAAATACATACCATCTGAGGAATATTTAATCCTAGGAATACTAATAAAATGTTTCATTCATTTGTCATTTCTGTTGATACTGTCTTAACGCTTGCTTCATACCTGGCTTCAGGAAGGTTAAGCTATGTTCAGACTATGTTTTCTCCAAAGACAGTGCGGTCCTTGCTTTAACTAATTAGGAAATAGGTGCAAGCAGCACAACACTCTTCATTATCTTCTAAGAACGACAGACTCAGCCTTCATTTATATTTGCTAATGTTTTCATTGATAAATAACACAAACTTTAAAAGCGAAAGAATGAAGACAAGACTTCATGCAGGTCAAATCTGACTAATTTGGAAATGCAAGTGAAGCATGTTTCAACAGAAGACAACAAGCTCATGTTCTGAATGTTGATGGATCTGAAATCATCACCAGCCAAAGCGTGCTTGGGATGTTTACGAAGGAAATTAGTGGCCCTCTGTTTGGCTTCTAGCAGGGAAGTGAGATTTACGTACCAAAAACAACGTCCTTCCTGACAGTCCCACCAAAGAAGACACAAGTGGAGAAGAACTAAAGAGGGAACAGCCCGAAGCCCTAATCAAATTCCCACTGAATGCTGAGGCACGAGAGCCCTGTGGGTAAATAACTATACATAGTGTTTTAATTATTAAGTAAGAAAAGAGAATGAAGGAGTTATGTTAAAAAGACTGCCAGTTCCCCAAGGAAATTAGCTTTTGTGTATCACTTTATACTAGTGGTGACAGAAAATATCACAGTTACATACTTATTTTTTTTGTCTAGAAGTATTTACAAACAACTTTACAAACTTTTATACACTTTTCTAGATTTTTCTGTTTACTTTTAAATTAAGAACAAAATTAAAAAAAAAAAAAACCCAGAGGCCCCTAAGGCTGTAGTTTGTGCCTATACTTTACATTCATGCATGGCTTCTTCCTATGAAAAGAAGGAAAAGAGTTTAAAAATGTGCAAATCACAGACATCTAGAGAGCTCTGCATTTAAGGCTTCCTAGATACTGGCATCTGTTAAGAATTGCCATTTTACTTCCCTTCAGATCACAGAAAACTACTATTGGTGGGCTCAGGGCAAGACAGAGAGAGAGAAGGAGCCATATATGAATTGGAACAATTAGATAAGTATTTTAGTGCTGGAACATCTGGCCAAGAAGAGTCATAGATCAATTTGTACTGCATATAGTAGTTTGAGCAATATAAGGAGTTGCCATAGTAAATTTTGCATATATCATTGAAAATGTTCTCCTTTACAGTATTAGTATTTGATTCCCAATGTATATTTTGATGTCAAAATTACATTTTGCTAACACAGTCTTGACCAGGCCCAGTATGATTCCATCAATCAAGAAATACTGACTTCCTTGAGAAAGACATATCCTTCCCACAGTTTTCACTGTTTGCTTTGTTTCTGTGCCTTAACACTAAACATTGTAAAAATCTTGAAATTAAAAAAGAAAAATTTACAATTTACAAGTGTCCATATAAGTAAATTATTCAAAAATTTAAGATCATCTACAAGGAGCTACCAAATAACAACGCTGATAATGAGCCTGGGGGAAGAATAATCCACATGCCGCAAGGAACGGATGAGGTGCTTCTTCCACAACAATGAGTCACAAACTAAGTCTTTTCTTCTGTCCTCTTGTCATCTTGGTTTCTTGACTGAGAGCAGAAGCCTTGAGAAAAGGTTGATTACTTATTTCGACCTAAAAAGAAGAATATAAGAGTTATTTGAAAATGTCCATACCTTCTTATCTATCTTTTACTTTGTGAATATAAAATCATGCCAACTGAAAGTTTAGTAATGAATAAACAAGCAGAAATAAAATCCTCTGGACATTAATTTCCTCAGCTGCAAGAAACACAGATAATGTCAAGAATAAATGGCTGGATTTAAAGGGACAGCTTTGTATTTTGATTTAGTTAAATATCAGGTGCACCATAATGAGAAAAAAAAATTGAAGAAAAAATCTTGTAGGTGGTAAACCACACTTGAAGTTCTCAAAATAACAGATCCTTTTCAGCATAATGTATTTTAACAGTAAAAGCTTTCTGTCCACCAGGTTATAAAATTTGCACACAACCTGCTTACAAACACATACATCTGAACCGTATTCATATTATTTACAGTCCTCACCACAATCACATGCCCATATAAATCTGTACATTCTCACATATTTGCTTGAAAATCATCTTTGCTTGTGTAGCCTAGAAAAAAACCTGTGATGCTCGTTCACAGCGATTTCATAGTGGTAGAGTGTAGAGGAACACACAAACCAGACCCACAATCACGCCAACCCTGCACAGGGTGATGACTGCTCCACTGGCAGAGTTTCTCAGTCACTGTGTTGGTCCATGAGCAGAGAGCTCGTATTGTCCTTAGAAATGCTATTTCTCCTGTGCAATTGGAGATTTAGTGTCTCTCCAGACAGGAGTGTCCAAGGCTTTAGTAAGAGTGGATCAGATGTAGTCATTCAGAAAGGAATGGCAGGCACAAAAATTTTAACCTCTGGTAACCATTAAAATAAATAAATAAATAAATAAATGACAATATAAACCAAATTGCAATGTTATTTTCTTCTAATCCCCTTGCTTCTCTTTTGCATCAAGCAGCATGTGGAAAAAGTCCTCATTACCACCAGGTGACCTGGCTGTTGATGCTGCACTTGAGACATGAAGACACAATGGTTTTATAGTCCAGGTACTTTAGCTCCAAAGGGAACAGATTTTTTTTTTCTTTTTTTTTTTTTTTTTTCTCCACAGCAACTAATGTCCTCCTTTCCACATATCTTAATTTAAACTACACAGTTCAGGGCAGTGATTCCACTCTTGCTTGTCCTGTAGCCTGATGAAGATACAGGAAGAACCAACAGCAATCAGACAAGCTATGATCATTCATATTTGCATGAAGAAATGTTCCTTGTGAGAACATGTTCAAGTTTAACCTCTTCCACTGGGTGAAAAGAACAGCTATTCTTAGACATGTTAATCATTAATAATTATGGCAGCACTAAGTATATATTATACTGAATATGAGTGCTCAGTAAACACTATACCTGTCTTCTGCATAGTTTGATGAACCTTTTATTTTCAACACGTTATGTTTAGTTAATTTGTGAATGAAATAAGATAAATGAATGAGAAAGGGAAAAATGGATTTACAGGCAAGCTATCATCTATAAAAAGCATCATGCTAATCTTTCCCCATGAGCAGGGTGGTGAAGATGGCAGAAGATTTGTAACACTTATTAAGGCACCTAATATATCTATCAAGCATTTTTCATATTCACCTCCAGAGAAATTGAGTTTTTAACACCTTGAATACTAGAAATAAAATGTCTTAGGGAGACCCTCTGGATTCTTAGGCTATATAGAACTGCTGCTGCTGATAGCAATTAAATTACTGCCAGAATCAAGCAGGCTGATGTGCTGCAGACAGAGAAGCATCCGCAGATTGGTAGCTAGCACAGTCTACTGACTATTCAAATCATTCCCATAGTTTGGCTCTTAATTCAGACTTAGATCATGGATATGTCTCCCCTTTGAGTTACTTATCTATCACAGAATGAGTTCTCTATTCTCTACTGAAAAAAACAAATGAACTGAAACAGATATATATATATATATATTTCCTGACAAGGCATTTTTTTCTTTCCTTTAGTGATAGTGAATTTATTTTTAAAATTTATTTTATTTTAAAGCATTAGGTGAAAACACTAGGTGAGTAAATATTTAAAGCATTAGGTTTTGCTTTAAAATTAACCTCAGTGCAGCTCTAGAGACTAAAATCTTTTACAGAGAGGTATAAGTGTTGTAGCTGTGGCTTTCTTTTCTCCTGAACAGTTATTTCACATTTTCAGTCTCCAGCATCTCACTTAGAATGGTCAAAATTCCATCTTACTGTCATCTTTCCCACACAAGAAGCAGCAAAAAACAGCAGGATAGGGAAGCTACTACTTCCAATGTAGTTAACGCCATGCCAAATGCCAAACCATCCATTATTGCTCACATTAATGTGATTCCTGCTCTAATGTACATTGTTATATTGAGATAGTTTTGTTTTTCTTTATAGGCTTTCATATGCCCACAATATTTACTTACTAAATGCTTTGCCTGCATTTATTTCTACAAATTGAAAGATGCAGCATGAGTACTTATGTATTTAAAAAACAGGCAAAAAGTAATAAAGTTCCAAGCAATGTGTCAAATATCCAGCCCCAAATACGTTTTTAGTAACTGTTGTGGTCTTTGAGTTAAAACTCCCAACATGTTTCCTGCTGCATTTAAGATGCACAAAAGGTAAATCTGAAGACAGAAAGCATCAGGCCAACAATTTACATGTACCTCACAAGAATTTCTAAACAAGGATCTTCTGTTTTACCAATGTCCTTCGAAGTATCATCTTTTTGAAGTTATCTGAGCTTCTACCAAAATATATGAACTGCTAATATCTCCCTGTGCTTTAAGTAATTCCAAATAAAGTGAAATGGTATGCATTTCCTAATGGAAAACATTCCGTAAGGTAGTGGAGAATATTTCATTGGCAGAGACTATGAAAACTATGCTTTAACTACAGGAGCAAATTACTGAGGAAAAAGAGATAATGAAGTTCCAGTGAAAATCTAAGATAGATTTTAAGCTGACTAATAGCTTTTTGGCATTTTTTTTTTCAGCAGCTGGACAAACATTAGAGCTTCTGCTTCTCCATAGGTGGGTTTATCTCATTAGGGCTGATTGTGGCAGCCACACACCACCCTGGTTCTTGCTGAGACGTCAGCAAGGAAGTGACTCCTTCCTTCACTGATAGCCTCTCCTTGCACTAAGCTGAAACAAACATGATGGGCACAGAGATATCTACTAATCCTTGCTTTAGCAGATATGCCCCAATGGAAAATTACACTCGCTCCATGTTTTACGTGGATTAATTTTTAATTAGTTTACAAGTAAAATATAATTAAATTATTAGTAATCTCATGCCAAAATTATTTCAGGAGAGGGTTAGGTTTCAGTCCAGTTAGAAGGATTAATGTGGTCCCTTGGACCAGAACCTTACCTACAGGCTTTAGAGGCTTTAATTCAACATGTTCCTGGGGGGGTTGTCGGTAGGAGTATGTGTCAAGTCCACCTATGAAATCAACTGAAAATACAACAGTTCCAGAAATGAACAAATGGAAAGGAAAATATGTCAACTTAAAAATAAATATGGACAAATTATATTAAAAAAAACTATTAAGCACATGTATATGTTTGCATACCAGAATTAATAAAGTAGGTAAAAATGCTGTGAAACAGGCTCACAGAAGGCTCTATGATCTGTCTTTGGGGTCTATTTATCGCTGTGCCTGGCAGGGTAGACTGTGAACTGACCCATGAGATAGGCATGCTGCTCTTGCTTGCAAAAAGGAACTTTGTAAATGTGTAAATAGCAACCACTGTGAGTTAAGGCAGCTTCTTCTTTTTAGGGTCTCAGTATATATCTCATGTTTAATTCAGATTCAATTCCTTTTGAAACATTTAGAAATTTAGCTTGTGGAAACGTTGGAGAACTTAGTCTCTGCGAAACGACTTCACTGGAGTTTTACAAATCCATGGAGTCATGGTAATGTAACAAAAAAAAGCAGTGAGAACCAAAGGGGTGACGCTGAGTCGAGATGAAACTTGTGAAGTTTATATGTAAAAAAGCAGCAGAATCTTCTGTGAATGAACTTCTGTGGACAGCAAATATTTTAAATATTTTCAGAATCTTTCCCCTATATCATACATAATGTGGAGATACGTGTTTCTAAGAAATTTTTATTTCCTTCTGTAGTCATGTTGATTTAGAAGGCCTTTTACAGTCCTAATGTAGCTCTGACAAATTCACAGCACATTAGAAATCTTTTGCCACATGGAAAGCAATTACTATTTTTTGCATTGCAAGAATATATCTAGGTCCTGGAAAAAAAAAAAAAGATCCTTATTGTGCTAATCACTATATGAGTACTTAATAAAAAACAACCCCTTTCCAAACAGTGTATTTCCTAGGTAAAATATGGAGGAAGCTTTTGCAGATTAAGGGATGGAGAAATAAGGCTTAGAGATTGAAGTACTGAAGAAAAACGCCCTGAAATCTATGGAAATACACCTGTTATGTTTAATTGCCTTTCCTCTTGAGTTCATAAGGGGGTAGCTTAGCTGAAAACTAATTCAATGCATTTCAATTACGGGCCATCATCTTAGCTGCAGGGACATTTTCTTAAAGCTCTGTGAGCAGGATGTAATGCTGAACAACTTGAATGTCTGCCCTATCCAACAGATACCCTCTTCCACTAAACTGTAAAAAAATAAAACACCATAATGAAAACCGACATAAGCACTGGTGGGATCTTTGCTGATACATTTTTAGAAAAGGTAATTTTTCAAATATCTGCTTGTCTAATACAACACAGAGCTACTGATTTGTTTTTCACAAGAAATCATGTCCATAGTAATAGATTCTGGTTGTGTGGCTATGTACTGTATCTTTCTCTGCTCTCTGAAGAGGATTGTTTTTTAGTGGGGGTATGTGATAGAAGGAGTTAGCAACTACATTTTGAAGATAATTCAAAACCACTCATAATTCCTCTTCCACTGATAACAAACACAGTCCTCCTGCTTCTGGAAGCAGGAAAAGAGCTTAGAGTAACTAGTGCAGCTACCAACAAATCTTTCACAGAAACTAATGAAGTTAAAATGTATTAATGGTTGGCAACATAGATGTGTTTTTGTCTCACAAAGAAAATATATTTAATAACACCATCAAAAATATTGAGAGGTCAGGCACTCGCATACACATAGATGGGGCTTGTTTTGCTTTCCAAGATAGGTGCTCTATTCAGCTACAGCCGAAGCTTGACTTAGGCCTCATGTTAAGACAATTCTGCACACAAGACAATGGGCTATTTTCTGTCACATAATCTATTTTACGGACATCTAGTTGATAAATCTTTAATATAATTTAAATTTCAAATTAGCTTTCATTTTAAAAATTCAAATTAATTTTACCTGATGTTTCCCTACTTCTGTCTGCTAGGCTCCCAGGACAGAGATCACAAGGGAATGACAACCATTAAATACAGAGTTTAAAATTTTTATTCTCATTCTGTGTGGAGACATTACCATGTGCCTTTCAATTCAAACAGACATCTGAGATATCCAAATGTAATCAAATAAAACTTTATATTTAGTGAACTTGAAGTTGCATACATGCATTCCTTTGTTTAAATGATCAAGAGTAAAAAACCTGAAATATTTGTATAAGTTTCCAAGGGGAAAACATTAGTTTAAGGGTGATACTGAATAATTGATTTTGTTTATTTGTGGCCTGGTTAATGGATTATGTATGACACCTGCTGTAAATTCATAGAGCTACAACAATTAACTTCAGAAAGCTGCATATGCCTGGAAGAAAGTTCAATGAAAAGCACACACACACACACACATATCCTAGACAGATCTGTAAATCTGTTCATTAAATTACCTCCTTCCTTAAATCCCCCCCGAAAAAGCACCCTCCCACACACACCCACATACACAAAAGAAAAACACAAAAAAAAACAAAAAATACTATGATGTTGGCATCAGGGATATTCAGTCACTAGAAAAGGAATACCCCATGGAGTATGGTCATTAAGTACAGTCATGCAGAGAGAAACTTAAAATCCTAGGGAGAGGATTTCTTAGCATCCCACAGATAATAGCAGGTTCCAGCAGAAACTAGTTATTTTATCTGCAGCTGGCTGCAAAACATGATCCATATTCCCAGGGGATGGCTCCCTCCTTGTGTCACCTCAGTGCTGTGGTCATGCTGGCTGCCTAATGGCCAGGGTAAATGTGCTTTCAGGGTTCACTACCCGCTGCGCTTGCAAGTGCAAACCCGTACTGCTGTCGGTGCTCTGTTAAAATGATGTTCACTCACTCATGGGTCATCTCCGGAGAACAGTTGTCATCAGTTGCCTACGTGAATAAAGCGTGGCTGAAGGTGAATCCGCTGTCACCAGAAATTTTGAGGGCTATTCTTTTTTAGACAGTTGACACTTGGTATGCCTAATTACTATTAATACAGGGCATTCACTTATATGCCAGTTGCAATTTCCTTTTCATTGTAGATTGTGCAGAAGAATCAGAGATGTGGGAAAAAAAAGATCATTTTTCCTTTCCCGCACTTTCGTCTGAAGTCCAGCTTCTCTGGCAATGTCCCACTGATCTGCTGGCAGGTCCTGTGCACAGAGCTGCAGGAGCTTGACAGCCCATTGGTATATTATTAATTTCTCTCTTCCAAGCAGGCATGTATGGAGGTGCAAGGTATGAAAAGAGCAGTGGTGTGAGGACCACACAGTAAATCCTGCAAGAGCAGCTTCTGGAAAGTCTCTTTTTTGAACAGCAACAATATAATATAACACAATCACCTCAATTAAGAAAAGGTTGTGAGTGGTGGAGTGTGCATTAAGTAAGTGTCAGTCAGTATGAAAAGGAGCCAAAGTCAACATGAAAGAAAATACAAAACATGAGAATTGGTAACTCAGTATTAGATGCTGTGTATAAAGTCAAAGCTTACTTTGGACTTTCCAGTGTTTGAATTTGTAGCTTATATAAACTTTACAGATAAGCATGATTCATTTTCAGGGTCTCACTTTTTTTTCTATTACCTTCCATTCTCAAGAGATACACTGCTCTTACATCTGTCTTGCCTGACTTCGACAGATCCACCCAGTTATCTGTCAGGAGGAATACTATCTATTCTCCCCTCTTCATAAGAGGTCTGGGCATCTGAGCTTCAAATCATGCAGCAAAGAAATCCTATGTTTCTTTGCTGGGTCCCCAGATAACTTCTTATACATGTAGACGGCTACAGGAGGGAAAAGGCATGCGAGACAATTAAGAAAGAAAGAAGTGACATCAGTAATAATATGTGACACTGTGATTTTTTTTCTGGTTCTATAAAGCCCTAGCTGATAGCAATCAGATTACGACAGGAAAAAGTGACAGGAAATTACTAGAAGGCAACCATTTACATGAATTTTTTTTACTAGAGCCTGGAATGGGAATATTTCAAGATCCTACAGCAATTTTATCTGCAATTTCTCTTTATTTTTCATCCAGTGAGATAGCTTCTTATTTTAAAAACTGCCCCACAATGTAATACATACGTACTATTCTGATCACCACACTTTTTTTTTTTTTTTTTTTTTTTTTTTTTTTTTCAGGACTAGGCTGAAAGAAGGTCCTCTTCTCAAGTTGCCTCAAGACGGTCCGGGCATGGAAATTTTAATCATCTGATCTTTGCTCTTGAACAATCTCCTTATTTTTTCAGTGCTCTGATGTCCAACATGTTAACATCAGGCAAGCACAGGTTTTTATTCTCTAAGGATATTGATGCTCAGTAAGATGAAAGAGGTATGAGGAATATCAAAGGTGCTGGGAAGTGAAAGTGGGTCAGACCTCATCACAGATCCATCCGGCCAGCCTGGAAACATCTTTCCAAAATGTTCTCTGCCATTTTTGGAGAACTGTTGACAACCTTGCCATTCCCTTGCCAAAGCTAAAAGACAGGCCGTCTCATTATAATTTTTGTTATTTTAAAGGAAGGATTCTCAATCACTTTCAAGACATTAAGTTCTCTTAGCCCTTGTCTGGTAAAATCCCTAGCAGAGTATGATCAGCACACATGACGTCTATACATTTTGTGTAATATCCTTATCAGAAGCTTATTATCACTCATGTAGGATGAGGAAAGAATGTACTTTAAGCTGTAAATATGTGGGATTTTTTATTTAAGCAAATATCCATTTTTCTTGACACTGCTGTCTGCAAACCCCGCATTCAAAATTTAAATTGATGAGAATAGTTTTCAAATACATCATACTCTCTCTAAATACACTTCAGAGCCTATTTTTTTAGCAAAGCAGCTCAGTCTGGGCATCGACATCCCTTGTCATGGTTCTGACTTATGCTATTCCTCTGCAACGTTGTTGTAGCAAAGCATTTCTGATTTCATATTTTCTTCCTACATAGGTGGCTATTCTGTTCCTTGTTTTAATAATGCTACCACTTTCCTCCTTTATTTTCATCTTGATGATGAAAAAAGGTTTATAGAAATACTTATAATCAGTTCAAACA